TTGCGAAAAAAGATAACTTTTTGCTCGACCGTACTGGCCCCATGGCGCCTCTAATAAAAATAATATAAATTTAATTGGTGCAATTTATTATTTACCATAGTTTATCGACTAATTTCAAATTTCATTTAAAAAATCCAAATTATACAGATTTTATATCATTTTAAAGTTTTATTATTTCTTTGAAAGGAAAAAAATGTGAACAGAATGTTACATAAGCTGTTTGGTCGAAACAATAAAAACAATGAGACCAGCGAAAGTGACGAATCACTGGGACCTGATGATATTGACTTGGAAGAGTTGGATCAAGCATCATCATCCACTGAGGAAACTGCTTAGAAAGATAGTTTGGGACCAGACGACCAATAAAATGGTGAAGTAGCTAATTTATAAAAGTTCATATTTTTACAGTTTTTATAATTTTAGGAAAATGTGTTAAGTTTGTTACCTACATGTTTATTTTATCTTACATATCAAAATTTTTAAATATAGCATTTATTTTATTGTTTATTTGTGATAAATGTTTATTTTATTCTTATATAACAAACTTAATAAATTGCCTTATAAATTGTTATAAAAACTGAAAAAAAAAATTTAGTTTTTATAATAAGAAGCTTCTCCTTACAATTTATATTTTTTAAGATACCTAAATTTTTTTACAGTTTTTATAATTTCTAAGTAAAGGCAATTTGTTAAGTATTTGAAATGTTCAGGTTTATAAATTTTCTTACAAAATATTATAGGTATTTTTTAAGAAAATTTGTTTCTAAAATTTTGTGTTTATCTTACATAATATTTTACAGTTTTTATAATATTTTTTTCAGGGAAATTGTTAAATTTGTGATCAAAATGTGTTTAATATATTCTGTATAGGTACTTACTTTAATATATATTTTATAAATTAATAATGAATTTCAATTAGAATATCAGTCGCCAAAGCTTGTACAACCAAATAGAAACATATTAAATCTAATTAAAATTAAGGCAATAGAAAACAATAAAAGTCTAATACACAACAATACACCAATGTATTTCCAACACAGTAAGCATCACATTGAATCATTTTAAGAAGATCTTTAGAAACTAATAAGGTTGTATTGAAATCCTATACAAATGAATCGAAAAAATCCATATTAATGCGGTTTCAAATGCCGAGTGCAATTCGTATTGAAACCAATTTCCTATTTTTTATTGGTTTCAATTGTAAAATTTTGTAAGGAAAACTTCATAAATAACCTGGTATAAAACACCCGTGCTTGGCATACCTTATAAATAGTTATTGCTGTTCAATAAATGCAGTAAAAACTTTACGAAAAACGTTGCAAAACTATCGTGCCTGTCTTATACTTAAAAAACCCAATACCTAATTTCGGAAAAAGAAATCGTGTCCACCTATGATTTTCTTGTGTAGTTTGGTCACTAAACGCGAAAATCACACTTAAATTTTTTTTTTTAATTGACGTTTTAGAGTATACTTCTAGTTTTAATTGATCGATTTGACCAAAAAAGCACTTAAATCAAAGGTAATTGAGCCCTCTACAACTTTCTCTTGTATAGTTTTGGTATCGGCTCAGTAGTTTGATACTGGCGATTTTATAAAGTTGAAAAAGTCCTTTTTTACAAAAATCGAGGTCGAAAATTTACATATCTTTCTGGGAAAGATGGAAATCGAAACTCCAGTTTGATTTATTTTACGTATAGATTATACCTACTTAAAGGAAAAAAATAAGCTGCTGTTGATCCATGGATAAATGGAGATCTGAGTTATGATTTTTTTAGTGGAAGACCAAAATTGAGTTTTTTGAGAATTTTTCGTTTTTTCTTCATTTTATTGAATTATTTAAAATTTAATACTGAACATTGATTTTTATTTTAAACATCAGTAGTGTCGATACCGGCGAAGCGAGCGGATGTTCGAGCGCTCGGTGCCGATCCACAATAAAATTCTTAAAGAAACATAACTATTATATACAGTGTAGTCGAGTAAAGTACGGTGCGAAACAGTGCTACTATTTGGATGACTATAGTATGTATACATAACGGTACAGGTGAAATCAGGGTACCTGTTCTCCGAGGGGTTAATAGAAACATTAAATAATTCCTCAAAAGGCAATCTCTCAACGGTGAACATAGGAGTGAGGTTCGTGCGGACACGAAGTAATAAAGTGACAGGGGACAGGTCAAGGAATCACCTATTTAAAGAAAAAAACAACGAAAGGGATCATCACCATCACCATCACCAGCCGACTCTGATAAGTATTATTGCATGACCTAATACGCAAATCTGTAAAAAAAAAAAACTGGCAACAATTAACCATTGCCGAAAACAGCGTATACGCTTATAAGTGTGCGAAAAGGAATCAAGCAGGAACGTCGCAATATTATATTATTGTATTATATATATTGTATAATATACGCGACTTGCAACTCAGCAACAAGGCAAAGCTTGAAGGAAGGTAAATAAACAAAGCGCCCACGCAATAACATAACGTAAATAAACCATCTATTGAAGCATACGTTACACGCCGGATACCGGGGCCGTTTCAGATTTTAATGCGATGCACCACAGGGCCGGCTATTTATTTTGTATTAAGCTAGTTTTAAATTAAATTTGAAAAAAAAAGTATTTGTCACCATTAACATTGCCCGTATTCATTTTATTAAACATAACATTATTTTACTTGAAATGTTAAAATAACTTTAAAATATGATTATGTTAAGATCATATTTTACTCTTTAAACAATTGTTTTGTTTTTAATTACTATCATTGCAAAATTGTATTAAAAAGTGTTAAAAATTCTTACATGGGCAATGTTAATGGTGATAGGTATCGTTAAAGTGTTTATTGGGATATCTTAAAACCTATGAAGGGCACGCAGTGTGGGGCAATAAGTCTGTCAACAGCAAATGCGTAAGGCGGTCCCAATCGAGACCGAAAATAAACACTGGACTGACAGAGTAAACTAACATTGATCACATAATTCTAACACATTAAAAAAAGGGCCTAATAGCCAAACTCGAGATTCGTAAACATTAGACAACAGAATAATCGCGCTTGTGATTTGACTAGTGAATAAAGCAATTCTTTGGAATTTGATAAACAAAGACGGAACTCTACCACAAAACGTGCTTGGGACAAAAATTATTAAAAACAACTGACACACTTTACCAAGGGCAGGAACTATCTGACCAGGACACGGACAATGACAATAACGAACAAGTCAAAGACCTCGACTAGGAGACTACACCCCTGCAGCGAAATAACAACTCCCCAACTCCAAATAGTAATCCCAAATGTTTGGAGTAATACTAATCGACTGGTCTAGGGGGATTCCGCGTCGTACTTAGTTTTAAGTCGGCGTAATTGTCCCCCAAAAACCAACTCCCTCCCGTCCCTCATCCATACCCCACCGAGCGTATAGCATAGGCTCGGCGAACCCGGGAATGGCTATTATAACTATTCGCCTCTCGCTCTCGAGCCCCAAATAGGGGACAGTACGTAACGCAATGGACATTCGCACCCAGCAAACACGGGTAAAGCCGTGCAGTTGCTGGGGAAGAACAAAAATCGGCGTAAGTAAACATAGGCCTGTACGGGGTTCGAGAGTCAAGAGGAAATGGGGCTGGTTATACGTCTCTTATACTCATACTCATACTCAACATTGATTTTTATTTTAAACATTAAATATTGAAATTAAATTATATATTAGATATTGAACAATAAATATTGATAATTGAAGATATTGAAAGTTTTATTTTGTTGTACCTAATAGGCTTAGGTTTAAAAAAAATCTGGCTGCTTTGTTTTTTGTTGCTTTCGTATTCCGTTTCTCGTATGAGGGACCAAATGTAATCACCCATCATTGCTGCATCTCAGAAGCCGTGATACCGCCGCTCCATACTCATTTTACACTTTTTATTAACTAAATAAAACCATGATAAAAATTCCTGGTTAAAATATCAAAAAATGGCAGTAAAATTTCACTATGCCAACACTAGAAACAAAAGAATTCACGTTGGCGGAGTCATGTTAAATTTAAATTTTGAATAATGTTTTCCAATTCCAATCATGCACAAAAAAACATACAAAATAAAATAAAAATCCTCAAAAAGCTGAATTTTGGTCTTTCACTAAAAATTCATAATTTCGCCATTTTTCCATGTATTTTTATCAACATTAGCTTGTTTTTTTTTTGTAAAAATGTTAGCTTCACGAAAAAAAATCAAACTGGAGTTATCTGTTTGATTTAAACGTTTCCCAGGACGATATGTAAATTTTCTACATCAATTTTTGCCATAAAAACGAATTTTTTAAGTTATTAAAATCGCTAGCGTCAAAATAGGTACTTATCCGATATCAAAAGTAGGTACCTATGTAAAAGAAAGTTTTAGGGGGTTCAATTACCTTCAATTTAAGGGCTTGTTTGACCAAATTGATCAATTAGATTTCAATTTTCAAAACACCTCCGAAAATTGAAAAAAAAACAATTGAAAATTTCAATTCAGGTAGGTATATCATGTAATGATATTTTTAGTTCATGTTTTTTAGGCAAAAGGTTTTAACTTTTTCTAAGATAAGTAGGTATTTTTTTTATTATTTATATCAAAAAATATGCTGTTAATTGATATGAAATAACCCTTTCGTTTACAAAATTTTACTGTAAAATGACTTTTTTCAATATTCTGCAATCTTTTGGAAATAAATTATTATCCAAATAATAGCAAATAAAGGATTCTGCAGCAACTACACCTACGCCATCTATGTAAAGATACTCAATAGTCGTTGACAAGAATCAAGGTTTCTTTTTATGTCAGCGTTGCCAAGTTGCAATTATATTTAGATTTTATTTCTTTAAAATGAACATTAATCGTATTTATTATCCTTTATTATTAAATTTATTAATTGTTTAGTGTACAGTTAAAAACAAAATTAAGAAGTAATATGTAATAATTAATATAAATTGATAAGGTTTACCAGAAGTATAAAATGTGACAACGTCGTAAAACATGGAGTAGTTCATAGATACCAGAACCGAAATGTCAAAAGTTATTCGCTAATTTTTTAACAAAACTCGACTTTTGAACAACGATTTTACAGTGTCATGTAAAAAACAGACTAATAATATTAATATGGTGCGTTCCACAAAAATTTACAACCTAAAAACCAATGATAATTGCTCTTATGTCGTTTAACCTCAACTACGTATCAACTATTTTACTATTTCTTATATTATTTATCTTAATCTATTGTTTATTGTTTTAGGATCACAACTTAAACGATTCTTTGGTTGCACTTGAACGTTTACTAGAAGAGTTTTTTAATCCCTTAACCAGCAACCTTCGAAAACATGAAATTGAACTTACCTTTGAATCTTTCAAAAATACGCAAAATTCACACAAACTATGTGTGTATTTTGTAACTAACACATCTAGTCAATATGTGACAATGTTTGCCTTATCTACATTAGAGGTATTTATGTTATTATTTTGGAAATGTTTGAATGTTAAGTTTTTTCGGGTTCTCAAGGAGCAGTTTGTTTAAATAAGAGTATTTTTACTTTCATGTTAATTAATAGGTTTTTAAAACTGAATGATAATATGATAACTATGAAAAAACAAAAAATTAAATTTGGGAAGTGATTTAAAACAGTAGGCATTACCAACTATTTTCTCTGTGGGGGTCCATGTGATACATTTTATAAATTATTACAAAAACTATTTTAATATCATAAATTCACATTAAATTAATAAATTAATATTGAAAATACTTGATAATGCAGTGCAGCCATTTCAAGCATACGGACGGGACAAATCACAAAAAAGTTTTTATAACAAAATTGTAAATAATTTATTATATAATATTTTAGCATTAAAATTGTCAAAAATATCCTTGTTTTACTAGGCTATACATGAAATATAAAAAACGCAAGAAATATTTTATAAAAGTAGAGATAATTTTAATAATTGACAGGTGTGGATGGGACAAGATAAATCATTTTTTGTGGTCAAAATTATTAGCATACCCACTTTTGTTAATTTATTTATTAGACATTTTCTAAAAATAAACAGATTCAAATTTGGTGTCCAGTCAAGGAACTTGAAATTTTGTTAAAAGTTTTAACTTAAAACTTAATATAACGTTATATGGTACCATACTAACCATTTTAAATATCTATTTCTGAGGATTAAGGAGTAAAAATCTTTATTGACACGAATAAATAAGATAAAAAGAAATGTTACCCCCTCCAAAATGTGAGAAATATGTTTTGACATTTTTTTTAACCATGTGGCTCCCGTCCCGAGGCGGGACTTAAGTTCAGTCCCGATTGACGTCACACACTGTAAATCGGTTTTTATTCCCCGAGATTTTATAATTTGTGTCAAGCTCGATGGCTTAGATGGTAGTGCGGTCGCTTGGCATGCGAGAGGTACCGGGTTCGATCCCTCTAGAAGTTGTCAAACTTTTTTTATTTTTTTTATTTTATAAATTTGTTGTTTCTTTGTTAAAAAGTGTTTTATTTTTATCGTAACATAAATTTGCCCATTTTAGTTGGGTTTTTTGCTCAATGGGGCGGGGGGGGGCCCAATGGGGCGGGGTCGGTTGGGTTGTGTTGTTGAGTTTGGGTTGGTTTGGTTTTATGACGTAACTAAAGTGCCCTTAACATGTATACAGGTACAATTTATTATTATTATTTTATTATAACATAACAAATCTTAAAATTATGACGTCAATCGGGACTGAACTTAAGTCCCGCCTCGGGACGGGAGCCACAGCGTTTTTTTAATCCTAACAAGCTTATGATCTTTGGAGTTTCATTTTACTCTTATATTTTAACAAAACATTCCCAGATTTTTTTTCTGCATGATTACAAAGATTTTCTTGTAAGGGCAATAAGAACTTACATTGCATTGAGCAAACTGGATTTATAGGCATAAGAAGTAAGTGCATAGTACTACTAAGATAGTATATTATTTAGTTTTAAATCCAGTTGCCAAAATATTTTAACAAAATAAAACTAAAAAAATTCGTTTTTTTTAATATAAAATTTTCTTATATTAAAATCTTTTAATATAAGAAAAACTTGGCCATGCTATCATGGCATAGCCTCTGTGTGTCATATTGTATGTCATAATTAATCATTTAATAATATCATTATTAATGATATTATTAAATGACTCATGACATAGCATTTGGACTGTCAAATAGAAATTAGAGACATGCGCAATACCAAGTCGCATGTGCAATACGAAAATGGGTTTGCGATTTTAAGACAAGCATAATAATTTAATTTAATTATGGTAGCTTTTACTCACAATTTTTGATAATTATGCGAAAAAAATTGCCGAGTAACGTGGAATGGCTGTATTTACATATTTATACATGGACAAGCAAATTATGACGTTCAAAATTCCGCCCTAGTAGCAATTCCGGACAGATTTTTGCTCAAGAATTGTTCCAGATTCTTGGCCAAGATTATTGGGCAAGACTTGAGCCAGACTGTGGCCAGAATTAGACAAGAATTTGACCAGAAATCTGAGGCCATCTATTGCTAAACTTTTGGACTATCCTATAGAGTAGAGGTTCTCAAAGATAATTATCTTTGGAGGTTCTCATTCTACAGTAGTATCATTCACAATAATGTATACTAGTCGAGAAGTGAGTTCTCGTCTTCTAGCTGAAAAAAAAATTGATTTTTTGAAAAATAAAAATTGTTATTTCTAAAAATCAAAAATTAAAAAAAAAGTGTGTGTCAGCTCTGACGCATAACTAGAGTTTACTCTTTATGAACATGAAAGATTATAAAATACATGTTTATTTTTACGGGCACCTGTTTTTTTTTTAACATAGAAAATTAAAAACTTTAACTCTTTCAAAATTTCTTTCGTTTTTAATTATATTGTTTACCACATTTATGGATAAAAACCGAATTTACTGGAAAGAAATCGTGGAAAATTAATGTTTTTAGTAACATTCTTAACTTTTGAAGTTCAACAAAATTTTGTATTGACCAAAAATCTTGAATTGAAAGTTCCTATTTAACGTGTAATCGTGTAAAAATTCTTGGCCAAGAATCTGGTCAAATTCTGGTCACAGACTTCTGCCACCAGTCTGGATAAAGAATTTTGATCAAGAGTCTTGGTCAAGAATTGTCCAATTCTTTACCTTCTCCAAGTATCTTGACAAAGAATCTTGTCCAATTCCATTGCTACTAGGGCGTGTCCGCCACTGTACTATAGTTTGAAAAACACTTTTGTACTTCTAGAATATTAATCAGTGAGTCATTTGTAACAAAAAATGCATTTTGATTAGTTCTGGATTTTTAGTATTCCAATATTACCGATATTGAAATAAAATCCGACAATTCATGGATTCACTGGCATGAGTAGTAATATATTACTATTATAATAGTAAAAAAAATCGTAGAATTGAGGCTAGGTATCTGTTACTGACAGTAGAATTTATGTTATTTATATCATGGGTCATTCAACGTTACTCGGCGATTTTTGTCCCACCCGTTACAATTAAAAATTGTGAGTAAAAACTACAAGTTATAAAATTTATTTAAAAATATTGTTTTATTATGCTTTTAATAAGTTATAAGCACAATAAAAATAATATTATAAAATATTAATTTTATAACTTGTGGTTTTTACTCACAATTTTTAATTGTGACAGGCAGGACAAAAATTACCGAGTAACGTGGAATGCCCCTCATGCTATACGCTCTCTGATCATCATGACGTCATGTTGCCTTGCCAAATAGTATTGAAATTGCTATTTTGAAAGAGAGAAAAATTATTAGTATCAGGCAATAGTTGTTTCAAATGTCTTGATATCCTAGAATAAACAAATTGAAAACCATAACACCGTATATATAAAACCACCTTACATTAGTAATGGTTTTTTTATTATTGTAAATATTTATAGAAATTGATTGTGATATACCTTTTAGAACGTGATATATAAACAATGGGCGAACATATCTGTGCCTGACAAGGACTGCATTAAAAGTGTTCTACACAATTATTTATTAGAGAAAGGAACAACAACACCCCATTATTTAAGAGCGAAATACGCCAAACTACTGGTAGATATAGCAAAACATGAATGGCCATACCTAGACCCTAACTTTTTTAACAACATACTAGAACTACTGAAATCTGAACCGAACCATTTAATTGGCTTAGTATTACTACGAACGACCAGCGAAGAGTTTATGGGAGTGCATAACTGTTTTACGAGCAATAGAAAAGAGGAAATCACAAGACTGTTGCAACCTTACATTCCAGTGATTTTCGATTTACTAACAAACATTCTAGAGAACTTGGGCACCAAACCAAGACATTTGAGCACTGCCACACCGCCGCCTTCACCCACTCACCCCTCCTCACAACCTAACCTCAATCATCACCTCGAAACTGCCACCTTCAAGCCTGACTCGAAAGTTTTGATCAAGGAGGCTCTAGAAACCGTACAGCATTTGTTCACTTGGGTCGGTGTGGAGCAGATACCAGTGAAACTTATCGGAGCCATATTCAATTTTACCTCAAATATACAGGTAAGATTTTGACAACAATTGTCAAATTTAAGCCATCTCAAAAAAAAATTGAGATTATCGTTTTTTTGTATTTTTAGGATGACGATGACACTTGCGTGTTAGCCATGTCGACAATAAACGAGATTTTTTACAGAAAATGTGTTCCGCCAGGTTCACAGGACTTTTTTAAGCAGATTTTTCACCATACAGTTGCCTTGTTGAAAGAAATTGTTCATTCACCAACATACAAAATTGAAACATTGGATCCATTGTAAGTTTTTTAAATTTTGTTAAATAGGTATTTAATAGTATATTACACTACAAGGGCAGAAAGTGTGAGATTCCTGCATCATGGCGTGCAGTTCAGGACTCTCACACTTTCTGCCCGTGTAGTGTATACTATTTTTCTTACTACCTCGGCCGAAAATACAACCCGGCCGAAAATACGGGAAAAAATTAAATGTGTATTTATGTACCTATCTCCATTTGAAGAGCTTGATAAATAAATAACAGTAGGCCGTGAATTCAGCGGTGCCAATACAGTAAAAATAAAACGTTGTATTTTAAATAACAAATTACTACTTTATAACAAATAAAAGTACCATTAAACACTTAAAACAACATAAAAAGTAAAAAAGTAAAAACATAAATTGTTTATTTGTTGTTATAATTGCAAAATTATGGTTTAAAACTGTCATATTTTTGTGTTTCTCATGTTTGCAGTACGAAATTTAAATGTTAAGCACACGACTAAAAAATGTTTACTCCCGCTATTAGAGTGTGCGCGTATAGCTTGACCAATGCAAGAAACGTAAACTTTCTGCCGTGAAATCGGGGACGAAACAACGTATTTTAAGTCGAGGTAGTAAGAAAAATATTTTTTTAATGTGCTTGAAATAATTAGTGAGATTTCTTATTTCTGTATTTATTATATGTTGTTTTTTATTCATATGCAAATATAAAATTGTTTTCTACTACTACTTCTGATCTTAAAACTACTTAATTTAAAAAAAAATTATTATTTTTTGTGGTTCACATAAATCATTTAACATGTAGATTTGTGGAAAAATTATCAGAACTCCTTGTTCTACTAATCGAACAGCACCTCTGGCGTTTCGAACTGGAACCGACGTTTTCAGCAATGGAATTTTTGTCCCTACTGTTCCAATTGACAATGCAGCTGACTTCAACGCAGTGTTACTTGAGATGCGCTGCCATCTGGGCTGCCTTTTTAAAACAAATTAAGCCGGAAAACCCACACAAGTATGCCGTGGTATTGCAACAATTAGTCGTTACTTTGCTGGGTAAAATACAGTTTACCTATAATAGTCAGTTGAGTTTGATAGATAACTCTGAGCTAAATTGTGATGTAAGTTTGTTGTATTTGTTTTTAAGAAATAATTGGAAATAATTGAATTTTTTAGAATGAAACTGAATGGCAAATATTTTTAAAAGCCACCATTGAGATTCTTGTAATGGTAGCTGAATTCTTTCCTCTGGACACCATAAACATGGCTGTAAGCACTTTTTTAACCAAGGGTTGTGCAGTTTTCTTTGATTTCCTTTTTAGATGCTTCCCTGGGACACTTCCCAACACTGGTATCGCGGACTAGAATTGACCGTCGACCATAAACACGGCACTCTGAACTACGAAGCGCTGAAAAACCTAAATTATGAACTTTATAAGACTGATAATCTGTGTTACATTCTTAAGGATTTTTCGACATTGACCCAAACAGTAGCTAGATTATGTTCAGTTATTATTGGTAAGTATATGGGGCATTCCAAATCGACCACTTTTGATCTCGACCTGTTTTTATTTAGATTAAATTTTTATATGTTATACTACCCCACTAAAAACGTTTTTGTAAATTTGTTCAAATTACCATGATCCCTTAGATAAAAACACACACAAACGTAACTATATAAGCATATAAGCGTTGAGTTTCTTATTCAATGATATAAGGAATAATCAATCGAAATCGAGTACTAAACCAGTTTTTTAGTTTTTTCCTTGCAACATAGAACACAAATAACTTGTGCGATTTAGCTGTGCAATTGAACAAAATTTGTCTCTTTAGTGAAAAAACTACATATTTATTTAAAAATGATGTGCAGTTCGTATGCTTCAAATGTATTATTAACAATTCTTAAATTCACACAATGGTATCGAACTCCACCAGATGGCGCGCGCGTTGCGAAAACCCGATACTTCTTTAGCGTATAGGTAAAAGTAAATTTTGTATTTGACGATACGATCGACTAGTGTGATGCCATACTATAATTTGATATTTATTCCTTACGGGTAAAAATCATTAGGTTTAAAAAGTACGTTAATTTGTAACAAAGACAAACGCAAGGTTTCAGTGCATTTCTTAGACTGGCTCATGAGAGTTGTAATAGACTTCACTGTAGACATGTTTACAAATGAAGGGGTAAGAGGCAAAAGGGTACGTCCAAAAAAGAGAAAAGGGAGTTATTAACTTTTAAAGTTTTTGCTTCATACAAAAATCTGGATACTTTTTTCAATATTGTTGTTTGTATTAATCAACATGCCTACAATTTTTACGTTATGAGAAAATAAAAAAAACTGGACTATTAACTACCCAATTCTGCACTTAACTTATTTTCATGCTAAAATGCACTTGTACCCTTTTGACCAGAAGACCCGAGTTCTGTTCTTAGAAAAAGTCATCACGTTTTGGTTAAATAAATTTGCTAGAAATTGGATCACGATGCTATTTGTGAAATTAAACGCAGAGAACTTAAAAAAACTAATGATTTTTTCTGAAAACCCAAACAATTTTATAGAATTTAACTTAATATTTTGGGTTTTTTTTTAAACAAAAAAAAACTAGTAATTTACTTTAACTTAAAAAAACAAGTTTGCCCAATCATTCTTACAGTCAAGTAAAATTAGTCCGATTTATATGGGTATTATCGCAATTCATTAGGCAATAAAATATTTTTTGCGATTGTTAGGGTAGAGTGATATTAATATCTCATGGCGGTTGACCTTGAGAGACGCTATAATATTATAACAAATATAATAGAATTTTTAGCCCAGAAATTCTTCTAAATATGTCAATAATTGTTTACCCTATGTAGTATGTTTTTAGGTCGGCGAATAATAGCGCGATTTGACGGATTTGAGACTTTTGCGCACCCCGCCATGAGATTTTAATAGCACTGTACCATATAGTTTTTAACCATCAACCCCTTTCAGCCTTCCGCCATCTTGGATTAACGGGTGAATTCGCAAAAAACAGCGTATTTTGATTTTTATTAAAAACAGCCGATACCATTTTTGACAAGAAAAATTAGTTCTACAAATTTGTATACTATTTTGAATATTTGGCATACTTGACGGGTTAAAAATTGTATGATATCTTGAAAGTTTCTTGCACAAAACGCATACCAATTTTTGTATTTTTATAGAAAATACGGAAATTTTAAATTCATCACCCCACGCCTTAACCTCTTTCGTTTCCAAACTACTGGAAAGCGGGGCATTGGCTACATCAGCAAGCTTTTATAATCTTAAAACGGGAGACTCGAGACTTACAGAAGCTTTTATAGACGTGTAAGTATAATTTACCAGTTAATTAATTTGCAAGGTAGGTATAACTTCTTTCTTTCTAGGCATAGTGAAATTTTGGCCGCCCTGAAAACAATCTTGATATGGATGACGAGGGAAAGCAAGTTGAACAATAGGGATTTGGAAATTCTATTGGACATCAGTCTACCAGTTCTACAAAGGGCCACTAATGTGCCAGCGAAAATTGCGTACTCAGCAGCGCACCTATTCTTCACCATCACCAACATTGTTTCCTTTTCGGACTTGGTGGCGTTCCCTAGCGTTCCGCAGTTCGTACTAATGGCGCCCTCTCTGAAATTTGCCGAAAGCGAAACCATGTTTGTGGTGTTTAACGCTATAAGTACACTGTTATTCAAACCATGGAGGGATATGAACGAGGTGGAGTCGGGAAAAAGAACCGCGCTGGTTGATAATTTTTTTAATGCCCTGACAAAAGAGTTTACCGATCTTCCAAGGAACACGCCAGAGGTTAAAGTTAGGGAAGTTGCCAACAAGTTGTTCCCCGTTTTAACGCATATTGTGGAGAGTTTAAAGGATTTCCCCATGAATTCAAAGAAGATGCTGAATTCTGTTATCATGGTAAGCAATACTAATAAATAATAAAATAATTAATAAATTAAACTAATCAACCCATTTAATAATAAGTTCTATTAGACACACACAAGACTATAGAAAATAAAAAATGTTAATATTTAAGCGTAGAGTGTTTGAGTTAATTTTTATAATTTTTTTAAATTGAGAATGACATACAACTTCTAAATAAAGAACTTGAAAATATACTGACTGAAATTAATAAGGAAGCATACAATAGTAATTATTTAAACGTTTTTAAAAGTTTAATCTTTGCCAAGAAATATAAACCAACTTTAAATGTAATAGAGACTATTAGTCTTCGTGTTTAACCAGACAAATGATTTAAAGTACAGAAGAATGATTTATCAAATCTATATTGCCCTCTACCATAATTTTTTTGTAGAAAAACAGAAAAAGCTCTAATAAGTAAAAATAAGAGTTTTGAAAGTCTCGCTTTCTCTTAAAAACTAAGTCTTATAAAGTCAGACTATTATATGGCACGCCGTTTTATCATTTATTAGATAAAAGTTTAAAGATTAAAGTTTAGCACTTAAATTATGTTTTAACAGAAATTTATAAAGTTAAATTTTTTTAAACACAAAACAATAGATAGTCAAAAAATATTTTAAATATAAAATTCAACAGTAAAAATTTATGTTTAAAAATATTGATTTTTAAAAGTTTTGGTTGTAATATTTTATTCTACAAAATTGTTAGTTTAAATTTTTAAAGAGTCATTTAAATGATAGTTGATACATTTTTAATACAAAAATTCTCACATTACATTAAATGCAAGTTTTAAATTTTAAAATAGTAATTTTTGGATTAAAAATCATTTAAATGACTCTACAAATTTAAACCAATTTTTTTTATTTTTAACAAGTTTAAAGTGATATATTTTTAAGACAAAATTTATAACTTTACATTTAAATGTAAGTCGATAATTTTTAATTACAAAGTGTAAACGTAGCTTTAGTAGAAGGTACAAGAGTCTGGGATCGGAGCCACGATGCAGCCAGTTTGATCCGTTGATGTTTTTTAATTGTCGAATTAACTTAGTACAATAGGCACTAAAAATGTTGTTGTTCTATTATTAAATTTATGTAATAAAGAAACATTTCATTACGATAATTTGTAAAACGCGTCAAATATTTATGGAGCAAGCACGATTTGGCAACACTGCGGATCAAACTGGCTGCATCGTGGCTCCTATCCCAGACTATTGTGCCTTGTACTAAAGTTACGTTTACACTTTGTAATTTAAAAATTATCGACTTACATTTAAATGTAAAGTTATAAATTTTGTCTTAAAAATGTAGGTATTAATTTAAAATTGTTAAAAATAAAAGTTATTGGTTTAAATTTGTAAAGAGTCATGATAGTCGATAAATTTTTAATGCAAAAATTACCACTTTAAAATTTAAAACTAACATTTAAATGTAATGTTCAAATTTTTTTATTGAAAATTTATCGACTATCATTTAAATGACTCTTTACAAATTCAAACCAATAATTTTTAAGAATAAAATATTAAAATTTAATTTTTTTTAAATTAATGTTTTTAAACTTAAACTTTTACAGTTGCATTTTATATTTAAAATATTGTTTGATTATCAATAGTTTTGAGTTTACAAAAATATAACTTTTTAAACTGTTTTGCTAAAAAATGTTTTATATGTGTTTTTATTTTAAATGGCTTGATACTATTTTTTAATACTAACAAATTTAACTTTAACAAATTAATCTCAATAATTTTATAAAATATTTATTTAAGTTAACAAAATGCCACCCAAATAAATTATACTTGGGAAAATATTTTTATTAAAAATGATGGTTAAAAATTTTTGCAAAAATTGATAGAAAATAATATTGTTTAATACAGAAGTGAACTGTTGGTTAGTAAATTTTGTATTTCAATACATCATAGTTGAAAATATAAATTTGTAAATGTAAACCTAAAATTTTTAGTAGGAAAATTTTAAACCAATAAAATTTTAAATTAAAAAATTATTTAATAAATTTTAAAACGGCGTGCCATATTGTTAGCAAGATTTGGAAGTATTCTGGAAGAAATATTAGACTTTTTTAAACTTTTCGCGTGGTCTAGCGATAAATATAAATATTTAGAATTCATCATAGATGTTGCATTTGGTTATTACAAAGGAAACCACGAAGAAAAGTATTTATAACATTGTTTCTGTGTTGTTATAAGACCTGTGTTGTTATAAGACCTAGGTCTAGCTACAACAACACAGAAGCAATGTACAATAAAAGGCAATTTTATTTAATTACAATAAAACAGTCGAGACATACGTTTGGTTTGTGTACAGATCACTTGTGGATTACATAATATGTAATAACAGATATACAGCCCGTTTAGAGAAAAACCGAATATATCTATATATATATATATATATATGGGGCGTGGCCTCGCCTCCCTCCAACGCGCGACACAGTAGCTAAGCAAATAGTCTGCATCGCTAATGAGATTTTTTGCATTATTATTATTTAATTTTTTAAGTCCTTACCTGCTCGACCTTTCGTCATGTCTTTTATCACACAAGCTACTGTGACGCGCCTTGGAGGGAGGCGAGGCCACGCCCCATATATATATATAGATATATTCGGTTTTATTCTGAACAGGCTGCATGTTTTGCAACTCATAATGCGTTCACATAACGTTCAGCTGTGATCTAATTGGTCAGCTGAGAAAATTGATATTCCAGTACTCAATAGGTCAGATGTATATTTGCGTATATAAAAAAATGTATTAAAACAAAACGTACAGGGGCAACAATGGAAACAAGTCAAGGGCATCGTATGCATTGCAAAAAATTAAAATTGTTATAATTATAACACCTTTAATATGTATTCTACAATTGAGACCTACTTATGTTTCGACTGTGTTATTGTGATGAACTGAAATAAACTTGGCTTATAAAAACACAGAAAATAATTTATAAATACTTTTCTCCGTGTTTTAATTCGCAATAACCAAATATATATTTTAATAATTCCGAATATTTATTTTTTTGTTATAAGTACCACTTCTCTGCTGAAAGTCATATTAAGTCGGAATAACTCTTCCAGAAGACTTCCAAAACTTGCTATTAGTCTGACTTTCACAATTCTTATTTTTTCTTATTAAAACTTTTTCTTAGTTTTTCAAAGAAAAATTTTTACAAGGGTATTATTGCGTTCTTTTGACAATTTGATAATATACCAGAGGAATTATATTTTACACGGTTTTTCCACGTATATATTACCAAAGAAATGATCAATTAGTTGACTATTATCATTTAAGAAATTTACTATATAATTAGGATGTTTGTTTACTTTTTAAGAGTTAAGTTTGGATGAAAAAAGATTCCTGTTTCTCTATTTCTTCTAAATATTTACTTGATTTTTCCTAAAATTTAGCCACAGTAGTAAAAAGAATGAGAACATTGAAACACATTTTAGATATTTACCTAACTGATATACTTAAAACAAAAAAATGTATTTTTAGAATACATTCTGCCATGCATCAACAATCTGCCGAAATTCTATTTACACCGACGAACCAGGATCTTATGAACAATTTTTTCTCACCGTTTTCGGTGTTTTGCAACCTGAATGCCTTAAAAAACATTTGGAGGCTTTTCTACAGGAAGGTTTCGAGTATGTTCTTTAACCCTCACCCTAAAAACACTTTTTATCTAAATATTTTCGCAGCGGACAGAATGCAAACCTGTCTGGAGTTGATTCAGTCTTGCAAATGCTAAACAGGGTTATTGAAACACGGAGTACAGCCTATAAATCTTTATTGCCAGCCATTTTGCAATTTTGTATGGATATTACTTACCCTTCGGTGGCCAATAGAGTCAATGAACACCCCGAGGCGTACCAATCATTAGTGTTATTACTTTACAGGTAATAAAACATCCTTAACTAGAACCTTTGGAACTAGATTTTGTAACATTATTTTTTGTTTAGGATTCTGCTTCACAGATGGCAGTATTTTTACATGTCCCAAGTTAGGTTAGGGTATTCCCCCGGTTGCAGCGAAATGGAAGCAGGGCCGGATTCGCCCCAGAAGCCCGAACAATTATTGGCAGTTTTAAATGTTTTCGGGCAAGCTTTAGAGCAAAGCGATATTAACATTTTTAGGTCTAGTTTGTTGGCTTTAGAAGACCTCAACAACAAGTGGAAATTATACCAGAAGGTGCGTTATTTGTTTTAATATTGTACGTAAAATAATTTGTATTTGGTTTTAGAATATATTTAGGCAAACTCTGGCCTATAATTTCTTGAACGTATTAATAAAAACCCTGATTGATAAAAGTAAAGATCTTCTGGCTGAAGATATACAAGTGGCTGTTTTTAATATTGCTTCAGTTGATTTAGGGTTGTTTTTTAAGTTTTTAGAACACTTAGTGGAGAGTATGGAAGTTATTGATGCCCAGCAAGGGCACATTTTGTTACAAAATTTTGTTTATAACCATGATAAGGTAAAAAAGCGATCTCTGAGATTTAGAACAATGTTGTTTATTCTACGAGTATTTTTTAGGATATGCCGACTTTTGTAAACCAACTGCAACGGTTTGTAAACGATGTTCGACAGTACCGTTTGTGCCATAGGACATGATTAATTTAACTGAGTAGTGTTAGTTTTTGTATACTTGTATTACAATGCTCAATTGTATTATGTACAATGAATTAAACTTTTTATACACAAATTTGAATATTTTTTACCCTTAAATTAAATCAAAATTGCATTTCAAACTCCAATAATATTTATTAGCTTTCAATAAATAGTATTAACAGAATATATTCTATTACATAATTAATTATATTAATTTATCTATCTACAATAAAATAGATTTTTTAGGATTTACTAATGGATTAATGATTCCTGTCCTTTTTACACCAATGAAGGAGTTAAATTTTGTAATAGTTTTAATTTATGTATTTTGCTATTTAAAACAGTTCTGACGAATCAAACTTTAATTTTGTCCGTTTAGAATTTTTTTAAAATTTATCTCTAGAATGTATACTCTGTTTCTACATAAACTTTTTAAATTGCATACTTAGATTAAAACCATAAACATTACATGTTAAAAATTATATAAATATGATGATATGCTTTTTAATTATTTTTTTACAAAAAAATAAATCAAACTTAAGTACCAAGGACGGAACTAAATTATTACATATTAAAACTAACTTAGGCAAAGAATATGGCTAATAATTTGTACTTTGTTTATGGAATAATACTAATACAAGTGTAAAAAAATGGTAAATTCATTTCCAGCCTTATTAGAATTTACCAGATTTTTGATCATAATAATTAATAATATAAAAGATAAATGAAATATGACATGACAAAGTAACATTTTTTATGTACAGATAACAGATTAAGGATGTAGATTATTCCTATTCTATTAGACTAGTAGAGACGTCAATTTGGTTGTTAGGAAACCCTAAAATAAAAATATTTACATTTTTTTACTTTAATTAATTGTTTACTTACCTAAATAATATGGAACTTAATTTTCCATTTGGTTTTCTTCTCCAACATTAGGTTTTAATTTAGTCTCACCATTGTTATTTTCAGTCAATAAAAGTAGCAAATTGTTCATATCTAATCTTGGATATTCCCTAAAAACAAAACAATTTTGAAATAGAAAAAACCTTTAGAATTACCATAATTGATTTAAAAAAAGAAAATAATTAATTGATTTTGGTATTTCTAGTGAAAACGCTTATGTAAATGCCCAATACTCTAGTGGGTAAGTACATAAATTTTGAATGAGAAATTTATAAGGGATCTAAGACATGTGCACGAACTAATATTTGATTGCTACAGTAAACACAAATACGAGCCCCGTCCAGTTTCAGTTGGCTCACACTGAAAATTTGTAGTGGTCTTGGCATTTATCACTCAGAAGCAAAACAATTGTGGCGGCTAGTTAATAATTAAACTATGCTATTTAGTGGAAATAGGAGAGATCTGGGTCATAAAAAAATCAAATATACACTCGCCGGCAAAAAAACAGGTCACCATGGTGCATAAATTGGCAACAATGTAAATGTTTATTCTTTCGCAAACCGCTCATCTGATTTTATCATCATTTTCCCTTTAAGAAACGATGGAGCCTGAAGAGCCTTCCTCAAACCGAAGAGGCTCATCTGGTACACGGACGGCCCTCTAATGAATGAAGCTGCAGGAGATGGTATATATGAGGAGCGACCTGTAGCAATACTAAGCCATATATGGGCGAATTTTCGTTAAATGTACATTTTGTATATATATTTTGTCCAGGCAGGTCAATTTGATCGATTTTTTTTTTACTTTGTGATAGAACAGTGTAGGTAATATACTGCAAAAAAATTCTATAAGTTTATAAATAACAAAAATAAACTTTAAAGAAATTAAACTTATAGGGTTAATCTGAAATAGGGAAGGAACACAAGGAAGAAATGAAACATTGTCCTCCTCCTAACGCATCTTCCTGAACGTTTTATGACACATTGCTTTTGACTTTTTCAAACATTATTTTTTAGAAATAATGTTAAATGCAAATATTTTTCGGCATTTGTTTGGAATTTTCTACTATGTTTTAATACAAAATGAAAATAAAAAAGTTAACTTCTAAAACAAGAGTTGTATGTACGGCCATTTCAAGCGCGCGAAACGCACGAATTACAAAACTGTTTTTATAAAAAAAATTGTGGATTATTTATTATATAATATTTTGGCATCAAAATTGTCACTTATAATACCACAAGAGCTTCAAAATTATCGGGTATTTTTCCTGATAGGTTCGTTGCAAACAAATGAAGGAGTCAAGTTTTTCAGGTTAAAAAATCACGAGCGCGAAGCGCGAGTGATTTTTCCTGAAAAACTTGACGACTTTATTTGTTTGCAGGGAACCTTGAGGGAAATGCCAGATAATTTTGAAGCTCGTGTGGTATTCGGGGGATTATTTTTCCGTCCCAAATGTCGGCCAATAGAATTGCACCATGAGACGAAATGTACAGTTAACAAATAAGAATTTCATAATGAATAAAACAACATTTAATTAAGATTTAATTTGTTTTATATATATAGCAACTACCAGAGAAAATTTTCAAAAAATTATCGCTGTAATTCGCTGTAGGTTCCCTCAACAACAATGCCTCAACAATGTCCCAACAATACAGAGAACTGTCAAAAAAAATAATCAAAAATATTCTTCTTTTATTAGGTTATACATTAAATAAAAAAAAACTCAAGAAATATTTTATGAAAGTAGATATAATTTTAATAATTGAAAGGTGTGGACGGGACAAAAAAAAGATTTATCTTGTCCCGTCCATCCCTGTCAATTATTGAAATTACCTCTACTTTTATAAAATATTTCTTGCGATTTTTTTTATTTAATGTATACCCTAATAATAGAAGAATATATTTGACAATTTTGCAAAAATAATATATAATAAATTAGCTACAATTTTTTTTTTAAAACAGTTTTGTGATTTGTCCCGTCCATCCGCTTGAAATGGCCGTGTAGCGTTTTGTAAAAGACACCAAAAGTGTACGCAAAAAAATCTTACCTTTAAAATATTTACAAAAAAATTCACACACTTTACACGTGCTCACTTGTTGTTGCCGAACTATCAAACATGTATGCCCTCTAGAAATATTACGATAGTATCTCTATCTCGTGTCTCTATTTCGAAGCAGTCGGCATAGAAGACGACGTTAGGAAAAAGACAAGATTTTTGAATGTCAACTTTAATATTTTTTTCTGTTTAAACTACTTTGTAGAAAACTATTTTATTTTTATATACGAATAAAAGAACTTTCCATTGTTCAAAAATAATTTATTTTTTCAGAAGAAAGCTGCAAAGAAGAAGAATATAATAATTTAAATTAAAAAATCGCCTCTGGGGACAGTTAGGTTACAGAACATTTCACCTAGTTTTTCTGCCATATATAGAAACATAAAGTAATTAAAAAAAAATACGATGGGTCGTAACAGGAAGGGGGTATTTAAATATAATAAATACAAAACTTATCAACAAAGGTCAAAAATAAAAATAAAAATAGCTGGGGACAGCAAATGTACATTTAACGAAAATTTGCCCATATGCCATCCTGCTCTGGGCCCAAGAGAATCTCCAAAAAAGTTATTCGGATAAACATATCTACATATGCTCACAATCCATTGTGCATATGCTCTTTACTTAGAATGGGTTTTGCCTGGGTACCGGGTCATCAAGGTATCAAAGGCAATGAGGAAGCAGACCAGCTGGCGCGTAAAGGCAGTAACATTGCCTATCTAGTAAAAGCCAAGATTAGGAACTGAACTAACAATCAGTTCTGGAACAAATGGCGAGAACAGACAATAAAAGGGTACTACAAACTGCAAAGAGGCAAAAAGATTCCTGAAACTAAATTGGAACCAGCTAAAAGTCATCACAGGAGTACTAATAGGGGACTGGGTAGTCAAATATCAACTACAAAATATACTTAACCATGAATTAATGTAGGTACATAAAACAATAGCAAATTTGTATATATACATTCTAGAATTTAAAAAAATACACAGGAATGTAAAAAATACAAAATTTGACTTAAAAAATGTGAAAATTGGTATCAAATTAATAGAAATGAATATCCATTGATCATCAATAGTCACACAAATATTTGTAATTATATTGAGAGTAAAGTTACGTCAAAGCAAAGCAATTTGTTAATATTTTATGCAATTGGGGTTTGAACACTCCAAATACTAAAATACCTACTAAAATGTCAATCCACTCGAACGATCGTTCAGTTGTATGTAATAAAAAGTATTAAGTGGTTGATGTTTTTGAGTGTTACACATCAATTTAAAAACAGTAATATTGATTAATAAATTATGGATGTAGTATATATTTATGATATTATGTTTTGGCCATACTATTATTATTATGATAAAAAACAAATTAAAGAAAATTAAAAAGGCTAACCGCATACATGACATCCCAAACCCAAACCAATTATGTACAAAAAAATAATACTGGAAAATAAACTAATGTTTTAATATTAAAATCGTTTGTGTTATGATGATAAAAACAGTGTTTCTGTATAAACTAAATATTGTTTTAACAAAATTTGACTTTGTACGCCAAAATAAATCCTTAAAAGCCTGTAAAACCAGGAAATCTGTTATAAGTCGAGTAGTCAGGTAAAAGTCTGGGAATTAAGGTTCTCCCTAACATTTCTTATTAAAAAAATAATAAATTGAGACAGCTAATATAAAACTAAATAGATTCATAAATAAGAACTTTAAATAAAAAAATAATAGAAAATGTTTGACTTAAATTATAATGGATTTTGGGCACACCCATATCTCAGTTATTAGAGATGGTACCCACATCAAATTTATATGAGTTTATAATGACATTATATAGACTAGTTCTGCGCAAGCAGAATTTAAATTAAAGTTTGCGAAAAAAAGTTAGTATATAAGTGTGCCCCCAGCATCATGCCCCCTAAATTAAGATAATTCAAATTAAAGTGGTACAATATTTAATTCACGGAAGTTTATCGACAAATTTTAAATTTTATCAAAAAAAAATTACAGATTTAAAACCGGAAAGTCAGAAAATTTTAAATGATTTTAAAAGAGGGAACTCTGTCATAGATCCTGTTTTTAAAACAATTTTAAACAATTTAGACGCTTTTTCACTATTTACGGTTAAAATTGTACCTGCAAAAATTTAAAAAAAAATTAGCAAACAAAAAACATCCCCACAATCTTAAGAATTTATAAATATTTATTAAAACAACAAAAAGGGATATTCAATAATATTGCAAATCAATTTTGCAAGCTGCAAGAATGCGTTAACAATCGACCTTTCACATATCATTTTTCCCACAACAAAATATTCGTTAATCATTATAATAATAATATACGAGTCATTCCAAATAAAAACACCAAATGGGGTGCGCTGCGTGATTTTTTATTTTGATGAAAAAATTTGAGGATGATCTTTTAGGTGTCAAATATGAAAATCCGTTGCCGTTTTAATTTTTTGTTGCTTTACTTTTATTTGGCACCCCTTAGAAGTCTGAAATAGTGTCAATTTCTTACTCTCTTATAGTGGGCCAGAACTTTTTTTCTGTGACAAATATTGAAATAATTTTAATTTTGTTGTGCTGTGCCTATTCTACTGAATTTAGAAGGTTCATTATTTTCAGGTATAAAGTACTTAATTATACAATAGAAAACGTAACTATTATTTTAAGTTTCTAGACTATCAATTTCTTTATTAAAAAAATTATTGAAAATTGATAATTCTCAAAATTAGCCAATTTTGCCCTCAGAAATCATTATGTTGAGGAAAAAATAAAAATCTGAAACTTTCAGGAAATGTAGTCCCCACCTTCATCTTTTCAGTCCAGTTAGTCTTGTTTTGTTATTTTTATTCCTTTAAAAGATATATTAATTTTTTTAATGGCCGTTTAGTAGTGATATTGTTAGTTTTATTTATAATTTAAAATTTAGATGGCTTTCATGTTTGGTGGAGAAGTGTCAGAACTGTCAAAAATATTTCATAAATATTATTTGTGCGTATTTCTTTGGTAAATTTTGTATATAACATAATATGTAATATTATGTTATAAATAAAACTTTTTAAAATCACCAAAGGAATACCACAAATAATAATTATGAAATATTTTTGAGAGTTCTGATATTTTTGGTAGTTATGTTATATTTTATGTATTGAAAAATTATATATATGTATATATATATATATATATATATATGTATATGATTATATATTATATACATTATAATGAAGTATTTAATTGGCTACACTGAAAAAAATAAGCTGTTGAAACAACAAAAAAAATATTAATTCAACTCTTTATGCACTTTAAATACAAGCAATGGTTTTTGCACGTTTACTTAACCATCTAAAAATGTCAAATTGTATTGTTTAATTGAACAACAAATAACAGTCAAATGAACAAAATAAGAATATTTGTTCTAATCTGCTAATTTGGTTAATTTAACATTCTTAGGGTGTTAAGGTAAATTTCTTGAAATGTCCAGTTAACCTTTTTAGCATATTCACTTAATATAACACCAATAAAATGTTAAATTAACATTCTGAAAATATAAAATTCTTTAAAGGTTGGTATCCAAAACAAAATTATGGAAATAATATATTATATATAAATAGAAAGAATTGAACCTTCACCTCGCCCAGAGTTTTTGTTTTGAGCGTGTTCCACCCATGATACATCTTTGTATAATGTGTTCCACCTACTTCAAATATCGACAGACTGTTTCGCCCTGTATTGAGGGTCTTAACAGTGTCGGGCAATATGGTGTAGTGAAAGTTCTACTGTGGAACACACCTTAAACAAACAGATATCTCATCTTATATACACCTAATCGTAAGCTAACTAAGGCGAGATGTAAGAAAACGTCATTGTCCAATGACGTGGCGTGAGTGTTCGAAGCGCCATTCTCGGCAATTTTATGAATGCAAATTTTACATTTTAAATTTTAAAGTAACATTTTAAATTTGTTAAATGAACAAATTTAAAGTTTTGGATTAAAGAGCAACTAAACGTTAATTTAATAGTTTTTTTAGGTAATCCTAAAAATTTCAGTAGGTGATTCAACAAATTCCAGCTATTAAATCAAAGTACGATAAACATTTTAATTCAAAATATTAGTTTATGTTAAATTAATATTTAAACTGTCAAATGAACAAATAAACTTTGACAAACTCTGACTTTTGCTTTAACACCAAAATATAGATTAATCCAATAGGTTTTTTGTTGAAACAACATTTTTAAAAGTGACATTTAGGCAAATGTTAACTACATTATTTTTTTCGGTGTAATTGGTGTTTAAAGAAGAAGAATGTAAAAAATATATTTAAGATCCTTATGGTTTATATCGTTAAGTATAATAAGTGAAATTAATAAAGAGTTAACTTAAACGTATAAAAAATGCGTTAAGCAGTTTTTTGTCGGTTTCTTTCACAATTTAAACCAAGTAAGTCTTGTTCTATTATTTTGATCCCTTTAGTAAGGCACTAAATAGTTAAAAGTTAAATGTATGTATTTTAAATGTTAGTGTTGGAAAAAATTTACACGATCTGTAAATACTTCTTTAAATTTTAGTTTTTAGGTAACTGGATAAAATAAAACATGTTATAATAAAGGGGTTTATTTAGAATATTTTTTGGTTTTTGTTTATTTTTAACAATTTAAAACTTCTCAGAACTTAAATATTTTTTATAAGAAAGAGGTACAAAATTATGATATGTTCTTGCATTTTTAATTGCAATTAAATTCATGAATCTCGAACACTCCGTCATTTATTACACTTGCAAACTTGCAAACTTTTTGAAATCACAATTTAAATACACACAAATAAAATTTATGAAATATTTTTGACAGCTCTGACATTTCTCTACCAAACATGAATTGACAAAGTCAAAGCCATCTAAATTTTAAATTATAAATAAAACTAACAATATCGCTACTAAACGGGCATTAAAAAAATTAATATATCTTTTAAAGGAACAAAAATAACAAAACAAGACTAACTGGACTGAAAATATGAAGGTGGGGACTACATTTCCTGAAAGTTTCAGATTTTTATTTTTTCCTCAACATAATGATTTCTGAGGGCAAAATTAGCTAATTTTGAGAATTATCAATTTTCAATAATTTTTTTAATAAAGAAATTGATAGTCTAGAAACTTAAAATAATAGTTACGTTTTCTTTTGTATAAGTACTTTATACCTGAAAAAAATGAACCTTCTAAATTCAGTAGAATAGGCACAGGAGCCAGACAAAAATCACAAAAATTGGCAAATTATCATGAATCTTTAGTGGTTTACCATTCTTTTATGAGATTATCTAATTGGATAATAATAATTTATATCGAAAACACACTTACTGAACAGTAAAACAAAATTAAAATTATTTCAATATTTGTCACAGAAAAAAAGTTCTGGCCCACTATAAGAGAGTAAGAAATTGACACTATTTCAGACTTCTAAGGGGTGCCAAATAAAAGTAAAGCAACAAAATATTAAAACGGCAACGGATTTTCATATTTGACACCTAAAAGATCATCCTCAAATTTTTTCATTACAATAAAAAATCATGCAGCGCACTTTTAAATTCATTTTTGGTGTTTTCATTTGGATTGACTCATACTTAGTTAACATTGACAAAAAAAATCATCATAGTTAACTAACAGGCAATTGCCTGTCGTATACTACCAAAAAATTTAACATAGATTTCTTTCTCCCAATTAAATTATTTTACATTCATATAAAGAAATAATTATTAAATATTTAACAATATTGCTTATGCTTATGCGCAACTATTTAGCAATATTAATGAATAACTTTTAACATAAAAACATTTATCTCCACGCGGTCTATACTTTAAACTTTATTGTTGTCAACATTCGATAAAGAAATACCTTGTTATGGCCTAGGCCGATAAAAAATTTTATGAGGCAAGTAATTAGTTCGATTTTTTCTCGCTAGAGGTATTGTTTTGACAAATTAATCCTTTTCTAAGAAATTAACGTACTAAACTGGTTAAATTTATTTATAATAAGCACTAATTTGTTTGTTTTACTGTTAATGTTTAATATTTTTCATTAAATTATTGTAAAATTAAATATGAATAATAAAACAAAAAGTGAGGTTAGGACCCAAGAAAACACACGATTCTTTTTCTACGATTTAAATTATCTTTAAGTTTTAATTTGCTTTATGTTTTCAGTGAAATTAAATGTTAAACACAGCTTAAACATTCCAAACTATCTATTTTTTAAATAAAAATCCAAACAAATTGAAATTAGATACCTATGTACCTATTTATTAAACAGTTAATTGAATTCAATGTAAATCCATTTCTACTTAAATCATGTTGCTAGGTATTGTCAAACTATTACTGCTTCTAAAAGCAATAATAATTATTGTACATTTAATGTAATCTTTAGCTTATGAATAAATGAGATTCTAAAAAAGTGAGGTTAGGCCGCTTTGATTTTGAATTAAATTGACCTTTATAAAGTGCTTTGAAGATAAAATGTTGTATGCCATTCGGCCAAGAAGTGCCTTTTTGTGCTTCGCTCAAACCTTGAGCTTAGCACAAAAAGCCTTACTTCTTAACCTAATGACATAAATAACTATTACCTGTTCAAAATCAAGTCCTCATTTATATACTTTTTGCCTCGGACGCCAACAAATTTGCCCCTAAACTCGTACGGGTACTTCTTGCCTCTCATTCCGAAGAATCCTTGAGCTCCTTGTAGTTTTTTGCCGCGCATCCCGAAGAACCCCTGAGGAGCGCGCTTTTCCTCGCCAAATGCAACGTCACCGACATCCTCGACGCTTTTCTTTCCACGCATACCTACGAAGCCCATTGGCGCTCTTTTGTCGTTGTAGTAGTCGAGGTACTGCTTTTTACCGCGCATGCCGAAGAATCCCGAAGGCGCTCGTTTCGCATACTCACCTAAAATTGGACAAATGTAATTTAGTAAAGTCAATCTGTCGAAAACGTTACAAACCGGCTGATTTTAAACATATTTGTAAGAATGCAAAACTAAAAAGATAGAAGGCGACAAAGTTACCATTTTTTTTATTTAGACTAAAATTGATTAAAACTAAAAATGCTTAATTGAAAAGTTGTTGAACTCAAAAATATGTATAAAAACTTGTAAACTAATTGGAAAGTTTCTTAGATTTTAAAACCCGTCTTAAAATATTCTTCGACTGTCATGTTGCATTTCTTCAGTTTCAGTTTTCTGAAGAAGGTAGCAACATTTATAAGACTCGGTTTGAAACCCAAAAATGTTTGAGAAAACCTTAAAGAGAAAAATGTATACTGTTAATAACAATTTCGGTTTCTAGTTACAGCGGTCACGCTCTGAGAAACTAGAAATGTGTTGACCATTGAACACGGACACCCAGATAGCACAAAGAAGTACTGGAAACGTCCTTAGTATATCTTGTATCAGGCATTAGTAAGTCCCGAGTACGTCCGAATCCTGAACCTTTCCCAGGACCAGGGACATCCGATGTTACCAAATCGTCGGTCCCCAGAACGTACTAAGTAAGACATCCTCTGACCGTCCTGAAATACTTTATTGGGGATTATTGGACAAGCTCTACAGAATTAAAGAGTGGTATTCCCAAAGGGTCTAAGTGACAAAAATTGTGAGTTATCAATAAAAAACAAATATTTTGAACATTTAAATGTTGGAATATTTTTCAAGTCATTCTGCATGACAAACTATTTTTAAATGATAATATATTATTTAGCCAACTTGACACTTAGACCCTTTGGAAATACTATGCTTTAATTGCTAGAAAAAACAAAAATTACATCCTTGGGACGTACCGAGAAAATCCGCTTAAATTTTCCCAAATAATTAAGAGACTGGACGTACCCAAAACTTCCGATATAGGTCTGGGACGTTCGGACCTATGTGGAACCCGAAATGGACGTCCTGGGTACGTCTTGTGCTATCTGGGCAGTCGATGTTGTCTAAGTAAAATGTGCTATTTTATATCATAACGAAGTTTACAATAAAACCTTCTACACCACATTTCTACTCGAAAAACGATTTGAAGAGCGTACCTGTTGAGCAAATTTAGAGGGTCAAAATTAAACAAACCTTTTACTGTTATTTTTGACGCCCTCTATCTTTTTCGCAACTGAATACAAAATGTATTACATATAAACAAATTTTTTGGACATTTCAAGCTACACCTTTTTTTCACTTTTTTGGTCCGACCAATGCATTGCAATTGCAATGCAAACGGTTCAATTTATTCATTTAAAAAGAAGAGCACCAAAGGTGAAACATTTAACCCTTTAGATCACCAGAAATACAAATCCAAAATCCAGCCAGTTCGGAAGTTTTTAAAGTAAAATTAAATAATGTTTTTAATAATAAGGATTTTCACTAAAATTGTAAGTATATAAAATTAAAGCGTCTTTTTATCATACCACAAAAAATTTAACCCTTTTTGTGAATTGATGTACATTGAAAAGCCACTATAATAATGTTTAGCTATTTTCCATTCCCCCAAATCCCATGGTAAGGCAGAGGAAGAGGATCTACTTATAAAAAGTATTACCGTTGAGTGAAAATAATCATCGTTATTTTACTTTAATTCGTCAATAAAGAATTATTATTATTGTAATTGTTATTAATAATATTAATATTAGTTATTGTTGTAAAAACGCATCGTTAAAGAGTCCTAAAAGTTATCCCATAGAATTAAAGTAGATGAACGTAAATTGTCAATGTTTTCGAAACACATTTTAAGCAATAAAATAATGAAAAGAAAGTGTTACCTAGACAAACTTCTTATTAATATCAGAGTCACACTCTTATCCTTGGTTGTAATATTACCCATTGTTGATGAGGTTAGAAAAACCGATATATAAAACTAGGTAAATTAAAAAATCCTAAAATTTGTTTTTAAAAAAACTTCGTGCGGAAAAACCATTTTAAGTAATTATTTCTTCAGTTGTCTTAAAAATTGATATTTAATATTTTATGCAATCTCGTTAAATAAAATATGAATGGAAAAATAGTAATAAGACTGCTATCCAAAATGTAAAGTACTGTTAACAGTTTTTCGAATTCGTATAAAAATCGTACCCCTTTTTTGTAATCAGTTAATGGAAAAACGTAATCAGAAGTTATGCTTTTTTAATCTTAACACAATAAAATACGGAATAGCTCAACAATTCTGATGATAAATAGCTCGTTATTTATATCATCAGAATCGTTAAGAAATGATAATTTTTATCTAAACTTTTAATTAGGCACTATTTTAGTTTCTTTAGTATTAATTAATTAATTTAGCGAATTACACTGTGCGAATTTTTTTTATCAAAAAAGTTTAGTTGGGTGAATATTTCATCCCAACCATAGTTTTTTAAGGAAGGGGCCCTAGACTAGAAAGTTTTTCAGTTGGTGTGCCAATATCAAATTGCTTATTTAAACTGTTAATACCTACCTACTCATTTATTAAGAATTAATTTAATATTATTAAAATATGTAATAAATCAATACAGACCCTATATTATGTGGGTATTAAATTAAAAAAAAAATAATAGGTAAGGTAATGTACCTATTTTCTTAATTTTTAAGGTAGTAAATAATTTTTTCCATAAACCCCCTCATATCCTCCATTGATTAATTGCCTTCCTTTCATCCTTCCTCCCGTAGAAGATGAACAATACAAAAACCGTTGTGCTGTTTAAAGAATCTATAAATGGCACTTCGATTTTCGTATTGTTCATCTTCTACGGGAGGAAGGAAGAAAGGAAGAAAGGAAGGAAGGAAGGAAGGAAGGAAGGAAGGAAGGAAGGAAGGAAGGAAGGAAGGAAGGAAGGAAGGAAGCCAATCTATAAATTAGGCTTAAAACCTGGAGCGACCAGGACAAACCTGAATGGGTGGCAACACATAAAAAAACTAAAAAATGCAATTATAATAATAAAGTAAAATTTGTTGTGTTTACAGCACGATCCCATAGGGTATTTATAGTGTCTGATTTTTTTGAAATTTGTTTTAGTGTTTTGGGGTGTTGTTTTTCAACATTTCTTGTTCAAATGGTTTTACAAATAGGTTTGTTTATAAAGCAGTTCTCGTTAGTCCTAGGACTCTCCGCATGCGCAATAACCCTAATAAGGAACATAATGTTGTTATTGAGTTATAGAGAACTACCGAGAAATGCTTGATAAAACAATCCTAATATATGAAATAATATATAAATATATATATCTCTAAAAATGAATTAGTCAAAAATGACTAATTTAATAGTTATAAGTGGCTGCTTTTTTACTTGTACCATGGTTAACCATGGTAACCCAAAATTTAATAGCCAATTCTTACGTAAAATTGTCCCCTGAATCCGAAAATGTCTTCAAAAGTTAAAAAAGTAGTTTTTGATATATAGTGATTTTTCCATTTAATATAGTTTTTGACGATATTTTCGGATTCAGGGGACAATTTTACATAAGAATTAGCTGGTAAATTTTGAGATACCATGGTATTCCATGGTTAACCATGGTACAAGTGAAAAAGCAGCCACTAATAACTATTAAATTAGTCATTTTTGACTAATTCATTTTTAGAGAATACAAACATTTTTAAATTAAAGTAAAAAAATATACGATGGTACCTAAACTATTCACACTCTGTAAAAATGGCACAACAACAATATAATAAGGTGCTGAAACTTTTCAGAAATTCACATAAACCTTCAAGATACAAACATTTTTAAAATAAAGTAAAAAAATATACGATGGTACCTGAACTATTCACACTCTGCAAAAATGGCACAACAAGATAATAATAAGGTGCTAAAACTTTCCAGAAATTCACATAAAGCTTCAAGAAAATCACAGCAGGTCCCTGCATTATTTTTCTCTTTATTTTGAACATCCTCCGTTTCACACATTATCAACTAGTTTGTTCTATGGTCAACTCACAAATCACGATTTTGTACAACTAATAATAAAACTAGTTATTTAACTTAACAATACACCAATAACCAATAACATGACTAATTGCAATGCAGACCCAAAGTAAACAACAAATATGTTTACTGGTTGACCTTTGTAGTATTAAATTAAATTCCTGGGGTAAACCATTTAAAAACTGCGAAACCAACGTTGTATTCTTATTATTATTATTATTTCTTATCAGTCGTTATCAATAAAGAAAAATACTTGTCAATAAGAAGTTTCTCTTATCGGCATATAATCGATTTTTAATTAGTAATGGTTTAGTGGTTTACCACACGATTAAATTTAAAAGTTATTTTAGGTGGTATAATTATGTATGCAAAATACAAAATAAATAAATGAACAAATTTAATATTGGGATTAGGATTTGATTACCAGTCTAACTCTTTTTATTTAATATTTTTTACTACATACTAATAATACCTAATATTACCTATTTATTCTCCCATTAGCACACAGCAAGATAAACAACATGTAAAGCACTCAAGACAACTTTTTAATAAAATTAGGGATATACAACAGCAATGCGATGGTTCATTTGGTTTTTGATTTTGTGATTCTTCCATTGCAGGTTTGGTTTAAGGTTTAATAAAATCAACTGAATGAAAAACATAATGTGTTTGTCTGATATTAAAATATGTACGTTGCTTGGAGTATGAAGCATACAAACATTTAATGAATGATACATTTTTCGATTTTTTTTAGTAAACAAAAGACCAGGTCAGACTGAAGTCCAAAATTCTACAATGGGTTTGTTGGAGTGTAATTTTATTGAATATTTAAGAACGATGTACAGTTAAAAAAATATGTAATGCTATAAAATAGAAATAAGATAATTCTAGAAGATAAAGGTATAAAAATACCTTTTAGGTTAGTATAGCTATTTTCTAGTTTCTATAAACTGCCGGACATTATCATTCGTCAAAGGGATGGACAATTTTTAAATTATTATTCTTCAATTATAGTAAGGCTGAGAAGGCTGAGAAGTGAGTTTTTGTGCTGAGCTGAAAGTTTGAAGGCCGATTCTTTAGCAAAGCACAAAAAGACACGTTTCAAGGAACTGCTCAGAGCTGTCATCAGTTATTTTGTATGTTTTTTACATACTAGGATGCAAAAAACTTCACTTGATTAGTCTACATTATTTTTACAGTAAGAAAGTAAGCGTTGACAATAAAAAAGCTTAAATTATAAACGCATGAAGATGAAATGGTTTTATATACAAATAAAGTAAAAAATAACAGCGTAGGTAATTGCCCCATTTTATTGCTATACATTATAATATCCTAAATTTTTTAAATAGTTATTTAACGCTTTATTTCATCATTAATAATATTTTCAAACGTCAGTAAAATGACATTTCGCATAATGTTTAACTTTATTGCTATGACAGTAATTAATTTTTCTGCCCCTGACGAGATAATAGCAAAAGTGCTTTTGCTATTATTTTTAGCGCTTATAAAGGTTTGAAAAAAAGTATACTCTACTCTCCTTATAAAATAATGTAGGTACACTTTTTTACGTTCATCTTTAAAACACATATTTTCTTTTTGTTTCCATGACTCTTGGTAATATTTTAAATACACAATAACAAGCTTTGACTTTGTGAGTTTTAGTCACGGGCTAAAGTTAGCAACTTAGCAATAACGGGCTTCTTAGTCACAGGCTAAAGTTATCTTTAAGTTAATTGTCAATTGTTATACAATGTTTTCTTGTAAAAATAAAATGCCTTTTAGAAAAGTCTAGTATGCATAAAGTGACCAGATTCTGTCAAAAAATAACGGGACATTTTGTATGAATTTACCTTAATTACAAAATTGACACAATGAAACAATGCAAATTGTAAATTTGACCTTACTTAATTATTGTTGATTGTGTCATTTTTGTAATTAAGGTTAATTTACACAAAATGTCCCGTTATTTTTTGACAGAACTGGCCACTTTAAGTATGCACTTTGTTTAATAAACTTATTTATACACTCGTTTATTAAACACTTACTCCACAAGATTTGCTCGTGCCTAATTTAAACTCTAACCCACCAAAATGCTGTTTACAAAGGTTGTTGCATAATATACTACTATCTACTCCCACCTGTGGCGTTTTGTGTTAAATCCGTTAAGAGTTGTCAAATTTGACAAATAAAATTGGCTTTAAATTCTTCTTTGTGTTCGTCATAGATAGAATGCAACTCATTTATAAACTTCTATAGACATTTGTTTTTACTAAAAATTCGCTCGCAAGCTTCGCTCGTGCCTAATAAGCTTATAACAACTTTATAAAACTTGATAAGCAATATGCTATTATTTACTTCTACATTGATCAGCTGTGGCTTTATGGCGTTTTAGCCACGGGAAGTTAGCTTTATTATACATTGAAAAAAAGTGAGGTTAAATTGGGGTAATAGTTGTCAGATGTCAAATGTTTAATAAATAATTGTCTTTATTTTCTATTTTGCGTTCGTCGTTGTTGTTTGTGTCGCAATGTTTTCTTCTGTAGGGACACTTGACACTTTCGCACAGAACTCTTCCTTGTAATATTTTTAAATTTTAACCCTTAACTACTCGCGCCAATTCTTGTAAATGGCTATATTGCTGAATGTTTTTAATTTTGACATTACTTTTGGCTATAGTCGGATGAATAAACATTATTTCTATTGAAACACAATATTTATTACAAAAAAAAAAACAAAAAGCAAATAACAAAAAATAAAATAAACGAAAAAATTATTTCTTCCACTTAAAAAAGAAGAAATCAGAAAGGAGTTTTTTATTTATGTATTCTTATTGAAATGTTTACTCTAAAACAATAATTATGTTTGTTTCGAATTCCATATTTTGTTAATTTAGAAATATTTTACATTGCAAAAATTAAAATTGAATAAAGTATTAGTGAAGTATTTCTAAATCAATATCAAGCATTTTGTCCATAACTTCGAAATCAGTAGTATGAATATGCTGTCGACAGTGCATGGTAGACACATCAGTCATAGATTACATGAAAAGGGTATTAAATTCCAAGAAAACGACAAAAGTTATGAAGGTTTTAATAAAAACGGAGCACTTAGTGCACCTGCGCGACTAGTTAAGGGTAAACGCGAACTTTTGTTTTTAATCTGAAAATCTTTGGGATGTAAATTATTATTTATGTGTCAAAACCAAAAAAGTGTTTCAGTCGTTACTTTAAAAATGAAACAAATCGACTGATTGATCTAAAAAAAATATTATAAAAACTTTAAAGCGTAATTAAAAGGCACTATTTTTGTAAAAAAAAAACAAAAAATGTAAACAGTTATGCAAACATTCTTGTGTATCTAACTACAAAAAATACTAATATAGTAATAAATTTGAAGTATTCTAAATATAGTACCTACCATGATAAAAATATTTGTATAATGGTATATATTACTTATTACACTGAAAAAATAAGCGGTTGCAACAACAAAAAAAAAATAATTCAACTCTTTATGCACTTTAAATACAAGCAATGGTTTTTGCACGTTTACTTAACCATCTAAAAATGTCAAGTTGTATTGTTTAATTGAACAACAAATAACAAAATGAGAATATTTGTTCTAATCTGCTTATCTGGTTAATTTAACATTTTTAAGATGTTAAGGTAAATTTCTTGAAATGTCCAGCTAACCTTTTTATCATATTCATTCAACACCAATAAAATTAAATTAATTAAAATTAAAATAATTTATAATTTGCGCTAATGTTCCAAAACGGTTGAGTTAACATTCTGAAAATGTAAAAGTAACATTCAAAATTATGGAATTAAAATAAAGAGAAAAAATTGAACCTTCACCTCGCCAGAGTTTTTGTTTTAAGTGCGTTCCACCTACTTCAAATACCAATAGACAGCTGTTTCGACCTATATTGAGGGTCTTATCAGTGTCGGGCAATTTGGTATAGTGGAAGTTCCACTGTGGAACACACACAAAACAAACGGCTACCTAAACTTATATGCTCCTATCGTAAGCCAACTGAGGCGAGATGTAAGAACATCACGTGATCAACACCGTCTAATGACGTGGCGTGGGTGTTCGAAGCGCCCTTCACGGCAATTTTATGAATTCAAATTTAACATTTTAAATTTTAAAGTAACATTTACAATTTGTTAAATGAACAAATTTAATGTTTTAGATTCAAGAGCAACTAAACGTTAATTTAATAGTTTTTTTAGGTAATCCTAAAAATTTAAGTATTTGATTCAACCAATGGGGTAGTTAAATTTTTTCTGACCTATACTTTTTATGGTTTTATTCAAGGCGTTTTGTAATTTTAAACATTTCTGTGAAATCGGAATTGCAATTGAGTTTACCGTTTTCGAGATATTTACAAAAAAAAATCTCCTAATTACGTCACTAGGCTATTGACAACGTTGCAAGCTTTTTCTATAGTTGCCAGTGTGTTTAGTTTAAGATTCTTACGATAGATGGCGCCACGTTATAATATTTTAGTTTTAAAACCACTTGATCTATAATTTTAGTTGAGAAGAAGAAGAATTGATTTTTTGACGTTTCTTTTTTTCGGGTTATGTTTTTTTAAATTTAGATTATTGATAATCAATGTTATTGTTATGTTATTTTTAATTGATACTAGATAAGTGATTTATTAATAACGGACTCCAAAGCAGAGGAATCTTGTGGAATGGTTGGTTACATTGAACATTGGAGCTTTTAAACAAATAAAGTAAGTACCTATAATTATAATCATATTTTGTCGTAAATGCATTTCATTAGTATAATGCCTAGTTCTTTATATTCTTTTAGATATATCTTGGACTCTAAAATATCAAACAGTAATATGATACCTCGTAATAAGGAAGATAGGTACTTAATGAATTTGGTGACCATCTGTTTCTCTACACAGAAGATATATTTTATTATATTATTTTAATCAAAATGTCTATTTGTAGACCCTGCACTATCTTTACCTACTATGTACGTTATTGCAGCAATATTTAAACCAAAATTGTCAAAAGTACAAAAATGTACTCTAGAGCGTAGTATCTTCGAACAGTCCAAAAGTTTGTCATACATTTTTTTAATCAGGGATGCAAGTTTTATAAAAACTATACACAAATATCATAAATACCATTGTTAACTTACATTTACTGTTATTTTTTGTAAATTTATTTCATTATTTTTCAGCTTTATTTTGCCACTTTTTTCTATGAAATATATTAAACTCTGCTTTAGACAGTTATTAGGCACCTATTTATTACATTTTATTAGGTTTAGGAAGATAGGTACTTAATGAATTTGACTCAACTGACAGTGAGAGTATTTGTACATAACCTCTTTGGGTATTTTCTGACATAACCGAATGAAATCATTAACAAGACAACTTGACAACAGGGTAATTTTCAACCAATAGAAATCTTAGAATGTTGGTCACATGGCGAGGTTTGTGACGTCATAAAAATTTATATTTTTTGTAAATATCTCGAAAACGGTAAACCCATTGAAATTCTGATTTCACAGAAATGTTAAATATTACAAAACGCCTTGAATAAAACCATAAAAAGTATAGGTCAGAAAAAATTTAACTACCCCATTCCAGCTATTAAACCAAAATAGGATTAACATTTTAATTCAAAAAATAGTTTATGTTAAATCAATATTTAACTGTCAAATGAACAAATAAACTTTGACAAACTCTGACTATTGCTTTGACATTAAAATATAGATTAATCCAATAGTTTTTTTGATGAAACAACATTTTCAAAAATGACATTTAGGCAAACGTTAACTCAACTACATTATTTTTTTCGGTGTAGTAGTATTGCAGCATTAAAAAATTGTTGGCTTTGTGTTTTACTTTTTTTGTTTCTTACCAAATTCCCAGTCCTTCTTTCCCCTCATACCCATAAACCCTGAGGGCGCCCGCTTGAAAATATCCTCCGGTAAACTCAAGCCCCGCTGCTCCACGTCATACTCAAACGGCTTTTTGCCTCTCATGCCCATAAAACCACTCGGGGCGCGCTTTACATACACCACGCGTTGCTGTTGCGACGTCTCGTCTTCCGCCTGCAACTCCGCTAGTTCCGGATGCCGTAAGTCTGCGTAGGCGTCGTCCGGAACGGACTTTTTGCCGCGTACGCCAAGAAATCCAGAAGGCGCTCGCTTGTGATGGTCTTCGCCTCGCGCGATGCACAGGAAACCGATTGTTAGCAAAACGGCGATTGTGCGTTTCACTGATGACATTCTATCTGGAAATAAGAAGATGTTTTTGTAATTATACTTGATTATAATAAAATTTATTGTTTAAGAAATTTACTTTATCATTAAAATTGATTGATTATAATATAACATTTTATTTTTGTAAACAACAATAAAAAAAAATTTAATAGTTTAAAAACAAATAATATAATATAGGTTGTAAGAAGAAAGCTATAGCTTTGTAAATTTTATTTGTTGTACAATTTTATAATTGAAGGGGTTAGAATAAAAAGGGTATAAGTAAATTTTTCATTTTTTGGAGATATTTGAAGTTAAAGTTATGTTACCATAAAAAAGTGAAGAATTTTGTTTAGTAATGTTTTTCTACTGGATAATAGAGGTCCCTAGAAGTATGAAAATTACTTAAATCCTTTTCATTTCGATACGTCGGAACCTTATCTTTCACAAAACGAACTTATCTCCTAAATTAAAGAAATTGCACTTATACCCTTTCTATTCTAACCCCTTCAATTATAATAATAATAATAATAATAATAGATTTCTTGGTTGTTATGATGTACTATGCTCCACACCTCAAAGTCACCACGTGACCACGTACGGAACGTAGTCTTTTGAAAATTTGGCATTTAAGGCTTTTCAGGTTATGTATCTGTCAAAGTATAGTCAATGCAAGAAATAATATTTATAGTGTTACCGCTTATGTTTAAGCGTTAAAAGTTAATAAATCTTTATAATATCACAATAACAATGGTTGGTTTAAGAATTTAGGAATATAAATACTGCATTTAATGAAATTCCAAAGTGTAAGGTGCAATATAAGTGATATTTTTGTGCATTGGGTCTACATTTCTCCATAAAATAGTTTTAACTAAACAGGATTTATTTAAAAAAATCCAACTTTTCTATTATGAAATAAGAATATCTGTATTAGAATAAAAAATATCATCTAATTTTGTATTTTAAGGTTAGAAAAATCTATTTTGACCAAAATAAATAATTGGATTATTTAGAAGAGTGTGTTAATATGGTCATAAATAAATATAAGTATACTAAATAATTGTTTAATATGGTTCAAATTAAATTGAAGCTTTTATACTTCTAACGACAAAACTTGTGTATACCTCTCGATTAGAGATTATAAGAAAACAAACAATTTTTAGAGAATCTTGCAATGTGAAAATATTTAATACTCCCATGACATACTGATTTATTAAAATATTAAAGTTATAATGATTTTTCGATGTTCCTAGATCAAATTCAGTCGAAGCTTTTTAACTATTTGTATTGACAAAACTTTATGTAGGTACACTTTAAGCTGGATAAGAAAAACTACCACATTTTTAAATAATCCAAAATACTTATTTATTTTGGTCAAAATAAATTTTTCTAACCTTAAAATAACAAAATTAGATGATATTTTTGTTATAATATATTAACCTACCTTTAATACAGATATTCTTATTCCATAATAGAGAAGCTAGATTTTTTTTCTATAAATGCTGTTTAGTTAAAATTATTTTATGGAGAAAACTAGATATTTGGACCAAATGCACAAAAATATTACTTATTTGGCACCATACACTTTAGAATTTCATTAAATGCACTATTTATATTCTTAAATTCTTAAACCATCCATTGTTAATGTAATGTTATAAAGATTTATACATTTTAAACGCGCAAACATAATATTATTTCTTTCGTTTAATATACTTTGACAGATACATAACCTGACAAGCCTTAAATGCCAAATTTTTAAAAGACTGCGTTCCGTACGTGGTCACGTGGTGGGACTTTGAGGTGTGGAGCATAGTACATAAATTATTGTACAGGTATTGCCAAGTCATTAATTGTTTTAGGTAAAAAATTATTTACCAATTTTATAAATATACAATTATTGTTAAAAAATTAGGCTGTAATAAATAAATAATTAATAAATAAGAATATTAAAATTAACACCGGCGCATTCACCATTATTGCAAATGCTAGGTAGTGTGTTTTGATATGTCGCGACCTGAGAATTAGATTGTTCTATCTCCCAAAATTTAAAAAAGAACAAATAGCAGTTTAAAGTTTAATTTATATACAAATGAAATTTTAAAAAGCTGTTTTTCCGTGTCAGATTTTTAAAAGATAGAATCTCCCAAAACCTAAACACGCAAAAACAGCTTTTTAAAATTTCATTTGTATATAAATTAAACTTTAAACTGCTATTTGTTCCTCTTTAAATTTTGGGAGATAGAACAATCTAATTCTCAGGTCGCGATGTGTACAAGTATTGCTAATAATATATTAACAATGGGTAATATAAGTGCTTTTTATATAACGAGAAAGCGCCATCCTAAAGAACTGTTTTTTGCGAAGGTCCTCCAAAATTGTTTGTTGTAATTGTAACTTAGAGCACGTGGGCAAAGTAGAGTTTTGCCCACCGGTTGAAATAAAGAAATAAAATAGGTGTTGAATAATAGTTTATTATTATACGAGAGATAATTCAGGCTATTATTCACGAGGATAAGGTTTGCGTCTTGAGTCGCCAGACTAGAGACTTAAATTATCCGAGTAAATACTCCAAAAAGTATACTCTTAAAATGAAATAGTCAAAGTTCTACTATTTGAATTAGTACAAGCATTTTTTACTAATAAAATAGTCGTTTTCACTTATAAATAGTTATTTTTTACTACTTAAATAGTTAAAGTTTGACTAATTTAAGATTAGTCATTATTTTTTACTATTTCTGAGAGTTAAAAGTAACTAATTTCTTTAATCGTTTGCGGCCAAAAACAAATTGTTGTTTCAGTTAAATGCATACAGGCTCCATGGTTAAATGGCCCATAAAAACAAACAAAGATGCAAAAAGTTTAGCTCAAAACAGCAACACAAAAAATTTATTCAACTTTAAAATATGAGCAATATTTATACACAAATAAAAATGATTTTTATAAAAGTGACTGATGGTTCATTGGTTATGGCATACGCTTGTCAAGCGACAGACTCGATTTCAAACCCCGACTTGGTCAGAGCTTTTTTTAAATTTAAATCTACTAATTTGACTATTTCATTGAGTAGAATTTGACAAATTATTAGTGACTGCTTTTTCGCTATGACAATTGTCAAATATGACTTATAATTAGTTATTTTTGACTAATTCATTTTAAGAGAGTATAAATAATGAATTTTAACTATAATTATAGTCGCCTTCTCCCAATTTAAAACCCGATTAGTTCAAATCACAGTAAATTTTGAAATCGGCCAATCACTGATGCCTAACAACGTAAATAATAAGTTGATTATTTCTGTTGCTAGGCAGGGAATTTATAATGTTTATCATTATTTATGAAAAAACACAATATTATGTAATAGGAGTAAATAAAAGTATATTTTGCGACTAGTGAGATCGAGTGGAATCTCCTGTTTAGTCCAATATTACTTTATCCAACTACATCAAATAATTTAAAGCCCAATTTTATTTGATACTTTATCCTCACTTTAATAATAAATAAACGATCAGAAAATTCATTAGTTAGTCTACTCTCAAAAGGGCCATAAAATAACATATTGGGGTTATTAAATAATAGTCATTTATGTCATTAGGCTGAGAAGTGTCTTTTTTTGTTGAGCTTAAAACTTGAAGCAAATCATTAATTATCTTCAAGGCACAGTTTTATTTGTTAAACGATACAAAAACGTAGAATTATAATAAAAATTATTAAAAGTATAAAGTAAGGTTAGATGGCTTCAGAACTGAGAGCAGTTATCGAATTTTTTTACATGCTAGGATGTATGAAAAACTTAACTGGTCTAATATATTTTTAAAGTATACAGATAATCGAATACTTTCGTAGTGAGCATTGACAATAATAAAGCTTAAATTATAGAACGCTTGAAGATAAAATTTTATTAGTTTGTTTTTTTACTAGAATCAATTATTTCCCATAAACCAAATTGGGCACCATAATAATTTTAATTATTAGAATATTGCATTTAGTAATTTACCAAATAGACATGTCAATTTAACTAATAAACCATTTAGTTAACAATAATTTTGACATTGTGTAGTTTGAATATTAAGGCGAAATCTAAATAGCCACCTACATAATTGTACCAATATTTCACACTGTACCTACATTTCATTAATTACTCAGACATTTGTCGATATTTCACCTGGTTATATCAATACGTTAATACATCACAATGCAACCCATGATTCTGATTTATTTTAAACTGATAATTAATAATCGCCAAAACAAATTTTAAGTTATAAAGCCAAATAGCTTTCGAGTATATAAAATACTATAGTATTTTATTTATTATTAATCGAATTAACTGTGACATCATAAACTATATACCCATATATGGTTAAATAGTTTATGACGTCACAGTTAATTCGATTAACCATGGTTTTTAACTTTTAACATTTGTTTACTTGTTTATTTTCCAGAATTTTTAAGAAATATTTTAAAAGTTAAAACTTTTTACTTATTTTTTTCTAACTATATAAATGTTCTATGCTTTTACTTTTTAAATTTTTAAACTTCTTAAAATATATAAAAAGTTATTTTTTTGCTGTTTACTATACGCTAAAGAAGCATCGCTAGTAGCTACAACTTATTATAATCAGCTTTTAAACGCGTATGTTACAAACAAGTGTTTTTGAGAATAAGGCTGGAAAATGTTAAAAATATCGAAATAAAAAACATAAAACGGTTTGTTGTGTTGTTGGGTGTTTTTCGGAGGAAATCCTTTATTGAGTTTTAACCGGTTTTGAAATCCGAATAAAAAATAAATTGCATACAGTGCATGTAAATATAAATTATACCTATAAAAATCATAAGTCATATAAATTTAAGTCTCCATCCAACGGTAAAATACAAAAACGGGTATTATATTTAATATTAGGTTGGAATGAATTTTTAGATATACTTTGTCGTTTATTATTTTAAAATGAAGTTGTCGGCGTTTTTTAGGGGCTGTTTGTACAACAATTTTTTGTAAGATTTTTTAAAAATGTCCAAACTAAAATATAAATTATAT